CCAAAAGCATTTCAAATCCAGCAAGATAATTTTTGCAATTATATTGGGCAAGGGTGAAAATTTAGTGAGGACACAGACCACTCTCCAGGTCCTCTTAAAATACTGTTGTGGGATTTTTTTATATCCGCCCTTGAAGGCGAACAGGCCCTCAACATCCCATCCAAAAGATGACATCCAAGAATACAGCACTCCCTTGGTATTATTTTGAGTTGTCAACCTAGGTTACATACTCTGGTTTTTGAATTCGGGCTGGAATCACAACCTTCCAACTCAGATTAAAACTATCATGGTAGCACATTTCTGATCATCAGTGATGTGTTATCTGCAAACAGTTATGACAAGGTTAGCTAGAAATGCTTATTAAAAAGGTGGGTCACAAGCAAGTGCACTTTATATTCTCATCGATCTGTATTTTGGAGTTGCAAAAAAAAAAATGAGAATCCAAACAGCAGACCAAAGTTGCACAGCACACCCACAATTTACTCCAACCCACTGCCATTAAAATCCTCCTTATAAATTTGTTGCAGCTACTTCACAATTGTTGGTACAAAATAATACAGCGCAAATCACATTACGTGTACACAAAAATATTCAGCAAATAATACTCAAAAGATATTCCCTTCCAAGCCCTGTTGAACTTTGCCTTTTGGAATCCATTCCAAAGAAAACAGTATCAGTTACCATTTCAGCTCTGCAGTTTGAGCCTGAACTAGGTGTGACAAGTTGTAAAGTTGGGTCCATAAATGCTGTACAGCAAAACTAAAGATGGCAAACACACATGTAGAAATATCCAGAGTGGAAATGGAGTTAAATACCCAAGCTTCGTTAATTGGATGCTAAAATTCATCTGTACCTATGAACTTTACGTAACAGGAAGCTACTCCACCCTCTTCCCAAAGAACATACGTGGAATTTGACAAGTCTTGTACAACTTGAAATACAAATACAAGGGAAATCAGTTACCAGGGCAAGGACTTTTAAAGACGAGCTTGACAGTTGGACAGATGTATAAACAATTTGACACGTACAGTTAATGCAATTCTTCTAATAAAACAGTTACACACGGTATGGGAATTGTCAATCCTATACATGCCCAAAGTATGAACTGGATTGTCAGATTAGTTTATGGCAGCAAAAACATATATTGCAGTTATATTTGCCAACTATGGAACCGATGGTTATTGACTACAGTCGTCTGAGAGAGAGAAGAATGCAAAAGATGGCATGCTTAAAATAAGGCACAAGGAGTACATTGGTGATTACTGAGGTGGTCAGGCAGCTGGGGAAGAATCACATGAACACAAGGTGCATTTGAAGGGGTCCATGGTTCAAACTAGTCCCAAGGTCTTTTGGGCCACAGAACGACAAGTGCACTAATCTAATTTTAAAGCTGGAATATTGCTTTGTAATGTGTTTTTGGTCAAGTAATTGGCAACTAAAGGTACACAATTTAGGGTAAACAAAATAACTGAATGTAAAACTGGGCTTGCTTAATTGCAGCTAAATCCAACCATGTATTTTAAATTCTAAGAAGTGTGTTTAGGAACGAGACAGCTGCTTTAAATTTTCATAGCCAGTTTTAAAAAATTGCATAAGAAAAATTTTAAAAATCTAAACTTAAAGTTTTAAACTTAAAAGCTCAAACTTTAGGAGAGACAATGACCTATTGATATTATTCCTGGACTGTTAATTCAGAGACACAGATAATGGTTCTGGGGACCTGGATTCAAATTCCTGCCATGGCAGAGGGTGGAATGTGAATTCAATAAAAATCTGGACTCAAGACCCTAATGATGAATCTATTGTCAACTGTTTGAAAAACCCACCTGATTCACTAACAGCCTTTTCCTCTCTTTTCACTCCCTCGATTACTACAGTAATTAGAGAATCCGCCATCCTTGTGTGGTCTGACCAACATGTAACTCCAGACCCACAGTTGACTCTTAACTGCCCTCTGGGCGATTAGGGATGGCAATAAATACTGACCTAATCAGCCACACCCTCATCCCATGAGGGAAGTAAATAATGCACTGCAGAGGGGAGCTGTAAATGTTCGTATTCAATTAGACAGGACATTCTTTCCCAAGCAAATGCCTTATTTGTATAACTTAAGAGGCACATCAATTGAGAGCTGTTTAGTTTAAGCTAATAAGGGTCACAGAGGCAACAGATTGTGATTTTCTGGCATTTTTAAGACCGACAAATACATTCCAGAACTGCAAACATTCAGTATATTTAACACATCTAAGGGTTTTTTTTTGAAAAGGTAAAGTACTTCAACCTGCAACTCGCTGTGTTTGAAGCAGTGGTTACCAGATCAAAGTTGCAATCTCTAACCTTAATGTGCTCAGAAACATTTGATTCTCTCAGAAAACAGCACTGAGGTAACCAGAGGACAGAGTGCTGTAAAAGCAGGTCATCCAAGTTATTTAATTTGTCATACTGCATTAAGACAGAATTTTACAATATAATCAAAAAGAAACAGGCTAAATTGTCCACTCTTCCCTCAAAATGTAAGCATGCTAATGTTTCTCATACCCTGAGTAATTGTGTTAACTGGCATTGCAAAGGTTAGGGCTAAAGATGTGCTCAAATTATGATGCTTTTTTTTCCCCCAGATGTGCAGTTGGCAGACTCAGCAATGTCAGATTCCAATTTGTCCCTTGGCAATTCTTAATGAGAGAAGAGCCCACATGTCTTTTTGCCCAAGTTCTTTACACAAATTAAACATAAATGACAAACAAGGTTGATACACTGTACTGGAATCAAGCAAGCAAAGTAACCAGTGGAGAAATTATGAAGCGATGGATTATGAAAAACACTGATTAAGAGGAAGGCAGTTTCTATCTAAACTCAAGCCGGCACGAAGCTGTTCAAGTTACAGGACTTTAGTGAAGACACACGCAACTTCCAACTATTCAGGGTTAGGGAGGTTATGAAGTGAAGCAGAGAACATAGCCAGGGGTTCTTCATGGTCCATTTGACCTCAGCATAATTTGCTCAGTAATGAGTGATTGAATGTATTACAGATAACAATCGCTTCCCAATTTACGCCTGATGGTGTTTGACAGGCTAGCTCATTGACGAGACCTGAATGTATAGTCTGTCACAGAGGGAAGAGATTTTATCCATCTACCTACCAACTAACACTGTACCCTATTGGTCAGCTCTCCACTGTTTAAATAAGCATCGAGGAGCTTACTATGTTGGCAGTTGCACTTTTAGCTAATTAAACTCCAGTTGTACTCGCATTCAATTGTATTCTTTCATGTCAATCAATTCACCCGTTAGGTGGTGTAGCAGAAAACTCAACCGCTGAACAGTCTCGACATTTTTAAACCTTAACATCTTGGATATTAGTGAATCGGATGTAACTTATACGCATGCGTTACAAGTGCCAATCAAAGGGGAAGCACAAAGATTAGGATTCACAAAATGCCGTGTAGTTTTCAATTCTCAGAGCACAATGCCTGAACCAACACAAAGGCTTGACGTGCTAAACATTGACCAACATGAAGCTAAAAACGTACATTCGATCTG